ATTCATATGATATTTGTTCTCAACTATCTTTATATCGACGAAACCATATGGATGAGATCTTCAACTCTCGTTTGGATTGTTTTTTTTTCTAACAATCAATCGATCTCTACTTCGGTTTCTGAACCGTATGTTGTTGCGCTGAAACTTCGAAAAATCATAACTTCTTCTGATGAAGTCAGATTTGAGACGTTCTTTATATGAACGCTCACGGTTTAACGACTACAACGACTTTCGTTTAGATTATTTTTCCTAGATAATTCTTCTTTGATAATGTCTAATTATCGCAAAGACTATTAATTATCATATTATTCTTTAATCATCTAACTCTATCTTGTGGGCGTTAAACAATGTCTCAAAAGGTCAAGACAACACACAAAATATTTTGAAGTTTAACCATAAAACAACCATATTGCTATAAATTTAAATACAAACAAAACTAACAATTGTTCGGAAAATACATCAAGTAATCTCAAAAGAAATCCATAATGCTTTTCTTCACTATAACTCATTGGTAGAACGTCAACCATCATCCATCCAATGCTCGAATAATGTTGTCGTCGATATGGTTCAAACTTGTCTTTGTGCTTAATGATTTAAAAGACCACTAAAACGCTATGACAGAATCAAATGTCATAAATGCTTCAAACCATATTAACTAAATGGTTAAAAGGCTTCCAAAAAGCTCACAAGCCTAGACAATTTGGCTTAAATAGATTGTATAGACAAACATTTTGGTTGGTTCCTGAATCTTCTATTAAGAATTATATCACATGTCAGTTAGATGATGGGGGTGACGTTTGTCACCATGATCCAACTTAAAAGACTTTTGTCCGTTCTTGGTTGAAAATAATTGATTTATAATTATGAGATTTACTGTAAAAATTTAATTATTTTTGTCCATTTCTACGGGATATAACCTAGTTATTTTATATAGAATTGAAGTATATCCTTCAATCTCTCCAATATGATAGTTAATTTTCGCTTTAGGGCTACTTTAATTTCTTATTTTACAGTATAAAGAAATTGCAACCGTTCTTATGCTTGATCGAATTGTGTTTTAACTTTTAAGGTTAATTTAAAATTTCAATCCCCACCCATCTAGAATCTAATCTGGACCTATGAATACGTTTAGCAAACAAAAGTTATACGTTGTCAAATGTTACGTTTGGATTAACATGTATTTCTTAGCAAAAGATAATTATTATGAACCACAATTTACTTAATAGTCTTTTATTATTGGGATAATGATTTAAAAGGGTCATGTATTTTTCGTTTTATATAAATTTAGTTACTGATTTTTCTTTTTGTCTAATTGTCCATTAAACCTGTTTTTTTGTCCATATCTTACCCTTATCACCGGTTGGTGTGGGTTTAGCCGATTTCAGACGGTCTTTGCATCTTTGGAAAGACTCCGGTCATCTTCTTCGGCGAGTCTCCAGTCATCTTCTTTAGCAAACAATGTTTTTTCCGACAGTCTTCTCAGGTAATCTTTTATCCCCTTATTTTCTATTCTCCAAAGCTAGATTTCTTGTATGAACTCGATTTCAGATTCAAGTTCGTATGCGCTGTTCAAAAATCAAGCATGAACACACATAGATCTGAAAATCGCCCCAAAAACCCATGAATCGATCAAAGCATGAAAACATACACACGAACACTTCTGGAGATCGTTTGATTTATGGGATGAAGATGGACACGGTGAAGATCTACGAACTTTGAAGATCATTTGATTTTTGAAAGAAGATGAATAGACACACACACACACATCGGTTTTTGTTCAAGAACACACATCGATTTCTGTTAAAAAACTCACACATGCTTTCGAAACTTAAACAAGAACAAGATACGTTGAACGATTCCAAATACTCAGATTTGTGTGTGTGTGTGTTCTTGTGTTTTTTATTTGAAAATCCAAACCTGGTGTGATGCATGTGTGTGTTCTTGAGTTGTTGATCTAAAAATCAAAACCTTACTTGTATGTGTTACAACTTGCTGGAAAAATCATGTGTGCCGGAGTCTGGAGACTCGCCGGAGAAGATGACCAAAGTCTCACCGAAGATGCAAAGACCGCCGGAAACTGAATAAACCCACACCAACCGGTCATAAGGTCAGATATTGACAAAAAAAAAACAAATTTAATGGGCAAATATGGACAAAAAAATTCAATGATTAAATGTGTACAAAACAAAAAATTACATTACCCTTTAAGTCATTATCCCTTTATTATTCTTGCAAAAGATGAGGACATTTTCATATAACAGACTAATGTAGTTTCAAAACATGAGAACAACAGTCATATTAAAGATTACCAATTCATCATGACTTCCCTGGAACCACATTTTTATGGTTTACACTTTGAACGGTATTCCATAAACAACGATGATCATAATGAAGGAAAAAACATGAGATCTTTTAAGGCCTGTTTATTTCTTTCTACAAAACAAAACAAGATAGTCATATGTTGTGTTTGGCATAAATTTGACCAAGACTGATGTCAATCAGCCAATACTACAAATGTTTGTTGTAACATACACGTTTTGAAATCGTGTTATGTAATTCAAAAAGTTAAAAATATTATGAAATATTATGTGAAATTGAGTATTGAGTTCTAACAGATAGTTTTTATTAGAAATAAGGTAAAACTATGTTTAGAATCACTCATAAACTATTGGAAGTCTTATGAGATTCCAATTAAAAGCTAAATAGTGAAATTTAGCGAAAATATAAAATTTGAAATAAGTAAAATTTTATTATTGAAAGTTGTAGATAAATCTCGTTAGAAACATGTAGGCGAAAACCTCATCGAAATCCGAGTTATAACGAAGAAGTTATGACCAATCGAAGATCTGCGATAAAACCGGCACGGTGCCGAATGACGTAAAAAGTGAGTTTTTGATAAACTACTTTTTAGCCTTAGTGATCTAAATGAAAGTCGTAGTATTCGTTAAACCGAGAATTTCGATAAAAAGAACGCCAAAATCTGACTTCGTATGAGGAAGTTATGATTTTTACAAGTTTCAGCTTAGCAGTAGACAGCTAAAAACTCGAATTTTAGATCGAGTGATTTTTAGCCGACACAACCTAAACAAGAATCGAAGGTCTCGTCATTAGTAGTACAACGGTAAAAAGTCTGACGAAAACGGACGTCGGATGAAGAAGTTATGAATTTTTAACGGATTTACCAGTCCCGGTCTGTTAAAAATAATAATATAAAAATAAAGTCAAAATTTTCCGACGAAGTCTAAACGAAAGTTGTAGAGCATAATTTTCTCTACGCGTGCATATAAAGAACGTAAAAAACGGAGCTCGTATGAGAAAGTTATGGATTTTACAAGATTTGTCACAATTTTCGAGAAAAATCACATGAATAGTGATTGCCACGTCACCCTCGCTCAGAGCTGGGCACGTGTCCGAAGCTGCTGTGTGGCATGTCCGAGAGGCGACGCGTGTCGCACAGGTGTCCGAAGAAGCCACGTGATCCTCGCATGCAACCCACGTGATCCGACCCGCGTGTAGGCTTCTGATTCGACCGAGGAGGAGGCCCAATCCGAAGCGAGCATCTGTCCGAACCGAGCCTCGCCCTGCTGACAGCTGGTCCGAGCCTCGCATACGAGCCTCTCGCTTCCCAGCCTCGGATCCGAGCCTTCGGTCCTCCTCCCCTATAAATAGCAACCATGCGAACCCTCCCGGGTATTTTTAGAATTTTGGCACTTTTCACCCTTTTTCAATATTTTTACTATCCCGACATCCCCCTGAAGCCCCGGTACTTATTCCAAAGCCCGAAACACGCCCTGAGATTCCCGAGAAGCCCAAAAAATTTATCTTTTCGGTTTTCAAGAAAACTCCCGGTTTTCAACGAAGAAAGTCATATTTAGAGCCGAAGTGCTGCCCGAATTACTATTTTGACCCCCGATTATTTCACGGTGAGTTTAATATATAGGAACAATTGTATGTTATGTGTTATATGTGCTATGTGTTTTTCCATGTTATCATCTCGAGTTGTTGTTTCCGCTATTTTTATAGCAAGGCTGTACCTCTGACTTGAAGTGTATGACATAGGCATCATTTGGGTATTGGTATGAACCGTTGACCATGAAGTGTATGACATAGGCATCACTTTGGCTTCGGTAGAATAATATTCCTGAGTATTTTTCCGTGTTAATTTTTATTCGCTACGTTTAATAGCAAAGTAATACCTTTGACCATGTGATCAGTGAAAGGACTTAGATTCATATTGGTACTGGTATGTAGCCTCTGGCCATGTAGAACATGTCTCCGAAAGAGAATGATTTCTATTCTATGGTATTGGCAAAAAGGGTTAGATAGGGCGTAAAAACCTGAAATCTACTAAAAGGTTAATCCGAAGTTGTATGTCTTCTGTGCCATTTGGGCCAAAGCGTTATTGATGTATATCAAGTATGGAAATTGTTATGTCTTGTATATCTGTGAATCAAATCAATAATTGTTAGGGAAAGCTTATCACATTATGCCTTTGTTGTTCCTTGCTCCTATTTGCTTCTGCCATATTGGTATATATGACATAACGTTATATTGTATCTATTATTGAACTCACTAAGCGTTATCGCTTACCCTCCCAATGTTTTAACATAATGCAGGCAATAAGCACCCAGTATAGTTGGAAGACTTAGAATAGTTGTAATATTATTTTTTGTATTTTGGTTTAGGTTTGTATAGACTTACAATATCCTGGATAGTTATGTAAAATATTAAAACATAGTTGGTTTGTATCCAATCTTTTGTAATCACTTTATCAATGTAAAAATATTATTTTATAAATATGCATGTAGCATGTTTTGGAGTAACTATATTGTCAAGTATGAAAGTTTGGGTCTTTCAGAAATATGAAAGTATAGAAAATGGTCCTTTCATTTGTCTCACCCATAAAGATGCCTTCATTTATGCAAAAGTCGTGATTGCCCTTTTTCATGCGTCCAAAAAGGACAGACAATCACAATTGATGATATAACAAGAAAAGATAAACCGAAATTAAAACGAAAACATGTATTGCTTGAGAGATGGATTGGATTTAAGGGTAAAAGTCAGACTATAAATACACAGAACAGAACTTAACATAGAAAAGAATGTGCATAAACGATTATGGTTAACCCGACCCAATCAGATGACATATTCATGAACAGATGAGATGTTTCAAAAACCAAAGCCCATTCCATTGGTTTTGGTTTTGGTTGAAACTTGAAAGAGAGATACTCCATAATAAGATCTATCAAGCTTCAAGCAGATGCTGCCATGGAATCGATTAGGATCTGGTAGCCTTCAGGAACAGTTGCCTGTGCATGGACACAGCCTGCTAATGCTGGCACATCAGAATTCACGTCCAGATACCTGGCTAACAAAAGCAACACATGGAAGTCTGAAATTCTCTTCACAAAAGGGAAATTCTTTGTTTGATCCAAATGATTCTTCAGGGTTCTCATCGTAATCGCTGTGTTTCGATTCTCAACTGGAAATGTTGATGACAACGGACCCTGCAATCCAAATCCAAAAAAAATACATATCAACACACAACTTTATATTAAACCCCATTTAACCAAATCCTACCAAAAAAAAACCTATCGCAGTGTTATTTAGGTCAAAAAGAGTAGAAATGCATATATGCTTACACTTAAACATCATTGCCACTAACATACATGTGCTGCAATAATGTGGCATCAACTAAGAACCACACCTAAACCATTGACATGCAGTTAACAGCTTATTCTTCAAGAAATAATTAACCTTTGAAATTCAGTTAACACATAGCCCATAAAAGGAAACATCATAGAAACATAGACATAAAGGCACTTCAGGTATATCAATCCTATGTTATAGCTTGATCACACCTAGAGAGACGAGAGATTTGGACCATTAGTTAGCATCTAGTTGAAGATCGTTGCATCAAACATACAAATAATTGAAGCAGATATGCGTTTAGGCATGAAAGCAACATTGTCAGCATACCGAATTCTTTACCATAGGTTACTGACAGTATATAATAATATAATATCATCAAAGTATTCAAGATTAAGAACCAGATCATATATGATATACCAACTACCAAGCAATCAAGATTCAAGAAGCTAAAAAGCAAGACATGAAAAAGAACCTGGTGATCAAAGATCTTCACAACCACCAAGAAGAAATCGTTATCCACTTCCCTTGTATCTTTTCCCCCAACCACGACATCCTTCTTCATCTTTGACAACTTTGGTTCAGCATCTGCAGCAATCTCAGTCTCAAACCACCCATCTTTGAATAACTTAACGCACAGGTCACTCATCTGAAACGCCTCAAAGTGAACATCAGCACCACCATCATCATTCACTTCCAATTTCACCATCACAGTCACCCATTCCTTCAAATCAGTCTCCCCTTGCAACTCCACCGCCTGCAAAATCTCTCTATTCGACAAAGTATAATCTTTCTTTGTTTGCCCAATCGTCTGAGTGAAAATAAACCCTACTTTTCTCATCCCCAATCCCAACGCAATCGCTTCCACCAATCTTTCCTCATCGGGATCCCTTAACAAAATCAGATTATCCTCCGTCCCCTGTTGCGGTGGCTCGTATATGAAATCCACCTCCACTTTCCCCTCATCTGACACCGTTCCATACATAAAACCCCCACGCTTCACAGCAAACGCTAGGGTTTCATTCACATAATGCTGAAACCCATTCGCCGCATCACGATCAAACGATACTAACTCGCAGTGAGGGTTCTCTTGTCGCGTGATTCTCATTTGTTTCGCAATTAGGTCATCCATCGTCATCTTCCGACCGAAAGATCCGGCAGGACGAATTTTGGGTCCGGCAACAGTGCGTTCACCTTCGTAAGCGAGGTAGATGATAGAACCGTGCGCGATACCGAGAGTAGAGATTAGGGTTTGAGTGTTAGACATGTCGGAGAATCGTGACATTTCAGTCGGGGTTTTGGCTAAGAGTAATGATTGGTTTGTTGATAGGGTTTGGTTGTGTACTGGAACTCTGAGTTGCGATTCGATTAGGGTTTTGAGCTGTGCGATCGTTATGTTTGGATTATCGACCTGCAGACGCTCTAATCCGTCTCTGCTTCGGATTCTGATAAACATCTTGCAGATTCCGGTGAAACAACCTGTGAAATTGAACAATCTGGAGGATGGGTGATCGAAGATGAAAGCTTTATAGACAGATCTCTTGGAGAACAAGCAAAAGGAAGGAACTTTGGTAGTGTAGAAGTTGTAGGATTCGTCTACCTTCCAAATGTGTTCGGAACTTCGGTTGCAATCTTTTGTGAACAAAAAAGGAAACAAAACAATCAACTTATCAAACTATAGTATAAGATTTTAACTATGGGCCAAGAATCCTATCAAACGTTTAGCACTGGGCCTATGATTCGCTGTTTAAACATTTAAGGCTTTTAGCCCTTGAAAAAAAAAGACATTTTAACAGTTGTTTTCTTCCTTAGTTCTTTTTATTTATTTATTTATTTATTTGTTTTTTTAGAGGTAAAATATATGAAATCTGCGCATCATATCTATAGACATCTGCAGTAGAAGAGATGGACAAAAAATCTACAGTCTACAAGAAGAAAACTGTTTATTTTTTTAACGTCCGCAGACTGTTAAAATAAACCAAAATTTTAATAAACTTATATTTTAAATTTAAAAATTTATCAATACTAAAATTTAAATAGTTTTAGTTTACAACCGAAAGGTTCCATCAAATTTATATATGTAACACCCGCAAATTTGGACTATAAATTTTTAAATGTATATGATTTTATTTTATAACTAGCATAGTTTCAGTAATTATCAAAGTTAAATAAATTTTAATGGTTAAAAGTTTTGTTTTAATAAATTATTTCATAAGAAGTAGTAACTTAAAGCTTTGCAATGTTAAAACAATTTATAACTAAAAGTTATATAGTTTAAGAAGTAATATCTACACTTAAAATATGGAAAATTAAGGGTACTTTAATTAAGTTTTGGTGAGAATCGTATATCATCTTCACATGGTGCTCACGTTAAGAGGGATGGTAAAAATTAGGAGAGGAGGTTAGATTGTGACGATGAAACAAAATGGAAGGGACCGTTAGGGTAACTTCCAATTGAAAATGCATGAAAATTATCATATCATTTGAATCTTTTTATCGCAACTTATCAAACGATTTTTTTTTTCACAAATATAATTGTGATATAAAACGACATATAATTATGTGATATAAAATGACTAAAACCGGAAAAATAATTTTTTATGTTATATAAAATGACTAAAACCGAAAAAAAAATATTTTTTTTAACTAGAAGATTTCTGAAGATATTAGAAAACTTTAGTCAATGTCTGTGCCAAAAAAAGAACGTGCAGACCTTTTTAGGTCTATGGGCTTTTAAAAAACAAACAATCAGTGAATTATCAAAAAACAAACACCCCTTTAATATATTAATTAAACTAAGTATGACTTAAAATGGAGAATTATCACTTGGGAAATTATCACTTATCACTTGACATGTTCAACCAAAAACAAAACAGGGTTTTAAACTCAAGAACTATAGTAGTCAAACTACATCAAACCTAAAACTAGAGGTGTTGATCGGGTAATTTTTTCGGGTTTTGGATAATTCGGGTATCGGGTCGGGTATGGGTAATTCGGGTATTACCCGAAATATATAATTTCTTTTTGAATTTCACCTGAAAATAAATTTAATGAAATAAATACGTCGTGCTTTATTAGTCTTGTTTATATAAACAAACGAGGCATAAATGAAGTTACTTAAGCTTTGAACATTGATATTTTTTAGTGAATAATACATGAGATATCAAGTAATTTTTTTACAACTTAATCTAATCTAATAAGATGTTAAAAAAAACAAATACTTAAAGATCGTAATTTAAAAGTTTAAAATGTTTAAGATAATTGTAGCCATAAGTTTTGTCATGTTTTTGAAGTTTCGTCAAGATAATGAGTTTGTTAGTTGCAATAAAAACTATAATTTAGAAAACAGTTAATTTTAAAGAACATGATGATATATAAACAATTACTTTTAATATTGTTAGTATCATATTGTCATAATAAAAGAGATTCATGTTTTACAATAATGATAGTTAGTTTAAGCATGATCAAATACCTTTTACAGAGTACAAGCTCTACGAAAAAAAAAATTAAAAATAATTCGGGTATACCCGAAAGCCAAAAAACGTACCCTTTACCCGACCCGAAAAAATCGGGTTACCCAATTACCCGAAAAATTTTACCCGATACCCGAAAAAATCGGGCGGGTAATTCGGGTATCGGGTATTTTCGACAGGGCTACCTAAAACCCAATAAATCGGCATAGATCACATCTCTAAAAGTACAAATTAGAAAGACTATGCAATTGAATTCCATTCGATCAGAGTTTATGACAGCAGGATATTTGGCTAATTAACATTGTTTTCTTGTTGTGAACATGTTTGGTGGGCTCTATTTTTCTCATTGGCAAGTTCTCTCGCACCGCATCAATAAACGGTATAAAGTAAGTTATGTATTTAAAAATCTCAACAAAATCATTCCAACTGTTAACCTATGTTATGAATCAAAATAATTATCAACTCATCAATCTACGATCTTTAACCTCTAATTAAATGACATTTTCAATGATCTAACCTTTTCCATAATTTTTTTTAAATAACTAACTTATTCTCACTTATCTAAAATATTATATAAAACTCCCTCATTTAATTAGTTTTCTGAAATATATATCATATCTAAAACATTACAGACAAACGAAAGTATATGTAACATTCCAAAAATTTCAACAAGTTTAAACCTTCCAAAAACAACCAATTTATTAATAAAAGTGTACAAACTATTATTTTCAAAACATTATTTAAAATTAGAGTCTCACAAGATCCAATCAGTTGTAAAACCAAGGATGTGTACGGTCACGCCTTCGCTTTGCCACGGACCACTGAAGTACTTGAAACCATAAACCAAAACTGTAAGCACGAAGCTTAGTGAGTTCCCCCAAAATACCACCACACAAACAGATAACATATACAAACAAGTATGCTCAAATGCTCATGCCTGGCTCAATCAGCCTCGGGCTGGAATACCAGGCATGTCTACGTTAGGCCCAATTATACTCGAGATGGAATACCCTCGTATCATAAGCATGTTAGTCCAATCAACCATCAGGTTGGAATACCAAACATGTCGGGTCCAATCAACCATCGGGTTGGAATACCCCATGCCTATCGACCAATGCATAAAGCAGTCCAGTCTCACTATATACCATACAATCATGTCGGGTCCAATCAACCATCGGGTTGGAATACCCCATGCCCAATCAACCATCGGGTTGGAATGTCAATATACAACGGGTCCAGTCATCCCCGTGATGGAATACCCTCGGGCCTAATCAACAATCAGGTTGGAATGCCCCGGTCTGTTGGCTCACACATATAGCAGTAAAACCTCAATCACCAACCAACATATAACCAGTCAACAGACAATCGGCCAGATCTACAGATCACTAAGCATAACATCATCCTATATACCATGATACCGATCTAACAGATCACTCCAACACAATAACATATTATCACATAACAAGATATCTAATCCAATAGGCCGTCCTTGGTGCCTTCGACTCGTAAGTACAGTGAGGAAGACTCATCTCTCAATATGATCAATAGTTGATGAGGTCCCGACTCCGAATCTCAGCTCCAACTGACACCTATCCCTCCAAGTGACCAATCACAATCAAAATCCCGAAATACCCAAAATACCCTTAGGTCAAACTTGGTCAAAGCCCATAAGTCAACTGAGTTAACCCAGCCAAGTCAACCCAACCGAGTTAGCTCGACCGAATCAACTCATGGTGCGTACGTGGGGCGTACCCCGAAGGTACGTTAGGCGTACACGCAACCTCGCACGTTGACCACCATCGGGGTGGTTGACCTCGTACGTAGGGCATACTCCTAGAAGACTCAAAAACCAATAAGTGCTTAATGGATTAAGCACTCACGACCATTTCTCACATCCATGGCTAAAATACCCTCAAGAGTCATAAAGTTTCCAACTTTATGACTTTGCATTGCCATTAAGAGCTTAACTCCACTTCTTAACCAATTAAGGCCTTCTAAATGATGCATGGAGCAAAACCAACCACTTGAATTCCATTTTTATGACTCAATACCCTTCCAAGGGTTTGAAAGGATAGCTCAATGGTTCAAGAACATGCTTTGTTCAATAATCAACATTTTGGGACCAAAAAGAGACTCTAAAGAGCAAAAACCTAGATCTACAAGATGGAGTGGAAAAGATGCAAGCTTTATACCTTTTTGATGTTGCAAACAAGCTAGAAATCATAGATCTACAATGCACTCCACTCCAAGGTCTTCACACCAACTTCTTCTTTCTTCAAAACCACACCAAACTCTCTTAAGAATCACAAAATGGCTTCCTTTTTGCTCTAGGGTTGCTTGAGGGTCGAAATCTATGAAAGAGGTTGGATAATAATATGGTTTATGTCCATAAAGATGCTTAAATATGAGCCAAAGCCCTATGATGAGGGTTTGCATGCTTCCTAATTACGCCCCACGTACTAAGGTGAACCTTAGTATGCTTAGCGTACACACACGTACACAGGACGTACTCACCCCTTCTCAACTTTTATCAAAATGCCACTAACCCCCCCCCCCCCCCCCCTTTTCCATTCTATCATAACTTAGGGACCAAAAATGCAATACATCTCAATATAAGGATTAACAATAGATGTGCTTCAAAACCAGATGTTATAGTATAAATATAAGTATATCAATTTTACTTTTTATACATAAAATAAGAAAAAAAATTATTACGTTATAGCTATAAAAGTAAATAAAAAGATTAAAATCTTATATAATCGTTAAAAACGTTATATTTCATAAATGAAATGTTTTTAAATATTTATTATAAATGATTAATTAGATGAGTAATAAAAAATATTTAAATCTAAAATATACTTAAGGGGGGAAATTGGAATACAATTAAAATAGAAAGGGTTAGATATATATAAAGAATGAAAATATATTTACCACTTAATATATATATATATTAAGTGGTCAATAAAAAAACAAATAAGTTGTATATTCAAATGGTATTGACCATTCAATAAAAATAAGTACATAATAATAAGGTATAAAATAAGTCAAGGTTTTAAATAACGTTAGGCGAAACTTGATGACAATGTCGAACCTCAAGCTTTTACGAGTCGTGGCGAGCCACAACGTTTGTAAGATGTGACTTAAGACGGTAATGTCAAGCCTTGGAACCATGACGAAACCATGTCAAACTTTTTAGAACCGTGAAATAAGCTCATATTAAAAATGATTTTAGGGGTACGTATAGACTCGACATTTTTTAATGGGAAATTATGTAAACAACCCCATATAAGTGAATTACTTGGAAAAAAGAACGAACATTTATTAAAATTTCTGAAATAATCACTTACTTTAAAATGTGGCATTCTGGACTAATTATAACCATTTTGGAGTTGGTGGTGGTTGGTAGATTCCGAGACCGGAATTTGACATCCGTACGTTTCCAGGCTGGAAAAGCGCATTCCAAACTGTATTCTGGAATATACGATCATTCTGCAGTGGTAAATTTGGGTTATTTAAAGGTTCTTTGGTTAAGTATTGTGTTTATTAGATTTGAAATAAAGAGTGTAATTCTGTAGTGGTAAAAAATGAGTTTGTATAAGGAATTTTATCGAGTACCAGTTTCTAGTGGAGGGTAATGGCAGCGAATTGATGGATCTATGCAGTACATTGCTCCAAACTATACATGCTTTTGTATAGATATAAGCAATGATATCAACTTCGTTGGTTTAATCATGTTAGTTGCTTCCAAGTCCATGTTACACACTAATCAAATATGTTTATCTTATCAATGTCCTGGATCAAATATAGTTATGTAGATTCTTAACTATAGTGATGTTATATATTTTCTTAGTTTTGTTAGTAGTATGCCTCCTAAAACAATATAATTGTTTGTTGTTAATAATGTTATAGGAAGTGGTATTCATCGATTTCCCATGGAAAATTGTTTGGATGGTAACAAGTCTTCCGGTGCTAGAAGTAACCAAATTTGCTATTTATTACCTATGACATTCAATCATGTTCCTTCTTACAATGGACATGTAGATGGGGGTGATTTTAGGTATAAAGGTAAGGTTGTTGATGATGCTTCTCCAACATTTGATGTTGATGAATTTGCAAATGATCAGACAAAACTAATGTTGTTGGTTGATGATAGTAATATAATTCCACATGGAGAGCCATTTGAACAGTTTAAAAGTTTCATTGAATTTGATCAGGATGATATTGAACCTGAAGGGGAGGAAACTGAGCCCCTAAAACCCTGAAAAGCGCAAGAGGAAAAGTTTCCTTATTATTTTTATGATTCTAAATAAACACAAACCACTTATTGGTGGATACTTGAACCTTTACCATTGCTAAAATTATATCAATAAAAACGTAAAGATGCCACAACCTAAAATTATAGTTCTTATGTGAAACTCTATCACCCTTTAAAAACAAAGAAGAACTTAAGCTTAGTTTTGGATTCAAATGTGTTACCGAAGGACTTCAAATTAGAGTGAGAAAATACACAAAAGATAGGTTTCTCTTTGCAAAAAAATGTAAATGGATTTCACATGATACAACCGGTAAAGACATTGATTCGTTTCAAGTGGTTAAACTATCATATACCAATACTTACTCAAACACACAACTCCTTCCCCCATCATCTTCAAGCCAACAAAAAAGTATTGGGTCAGTTCTTGAAGGGAAAATTAGCTGATAGTACTTGTAATATGTTGCGGGGAAAACAGATCCAATGAACGTCAAATGACCATCTTAGTGTACATATTTCATATTGGCAAACATGGAGTGCAAATGTATATGCTTTAAATTTAGTGAGCGGGACCCCTAAAGAAAACTTTCAAATACTCCCTTTATATTGTTACAATTTGGAGAGGAAGAATATAGGGACCGTTACACATATAAAGACAAGTAACGGCACCAAATCTGAATATTTTTTCATGGTTATCGGTTGCACTATAATAATTTTTATATAATCTATTAAATATACGTGTATTCGATTCTATGACTAATCTATTAAATTATTTTGTAGGTTCGAGCGTTTCAAACATATTTGTGTGCTATTATTATCATTGACGAAACACATTTTAAAGGGAAATACTTGGACAGGATGCTCCTAGAAGTAGGCATAGACAATAATAACCAAATACTCCCAATAGAATTTGGTGTTGGAAAACTAAAAGTAAGGATTTATAGATATGGTTTTTATCAAGACACAAAGAATGTATTAGGGACATGGAGGCATTGGTTATCATATCA